AATGGGTAATGTTTTCCTTCGCTGGCGGTTCACCTTCTCGCCCTGTCCCCAACGCTGTAGCTGATCGCGTCGGTTTTATAGCCCTCCGTTAGCTTCGTCCATGGGCCCAGCACTGTAGCTGATGACGTTGGGCTCGTGGCCTTCCTCCACTCCTGCTGCCACTGCCTGCATTTCTCACACGCCTTGGCATTTCTCGCACGAGCTGATCCCAGCGTTGTGGCTGATGATGTTGGCTCGCAGATGTGTCTCGCACGACCGCGTGCGGTAACAGAGCCTGCTGTCATTGCGTTCCTCCTCGCACGACCCTATCCCCGCGCTGTAGCTCAGAACCCGTCCCACGAGTACCTTCTCGCGCGAGCGAGTCCCCTCACTGTAGCTGAGATGTGTCTCGCGCGAGCCCCGTTTGCGGCAGCGAAGTCCGCTGCCACTGCCTGCCTTCTCGCGCTTGCTGATCCTGGCGCTGCAGCCGAGAGGAGCCTCTCGCCCCACTCCGCGCAGCAAGGCGCTTCGGGCACGCTCCGGCTCCAGCGCTGCAGCTGATGGCATCGGGTTCCAGCTTCGCCTTCACAGCTCGTTGGGCAGTGACAGAGCCTGTTGTCGCTGCTCGCCCTTCTCGCACCCTGTGCCATGGGCTGCACGGTGGCTGACGACCTTTTGAGCAGCGGCCCCAGCACGGTGGTTGACGACCTTTGTCTTTGGTTGTTCCCGCACGTGCTGCTTCCGTCGTTGTTGTTGACGGTGTGTGGCTCGTGCTCAGCCGCCGGCGGGGCCTGGCCGTCGCTGGTGCAGCTAATTGCGGAAACTCCGAGGCGGGGATTCATACATAACCACGGCCTGGAGGATAGATTTTCGGAGACCTCGACATGCGGTGGATACGGTTAGATTTGGGCCACCGTGGACCAACATGTATCCATATCCACCGCCCGCTGGGGCACTAGGCCGCTGGTTCCCAGGCGGCGGATATGGATAAATCCCCGCCTCGCAGAAACGGGATGGCTGAAGATGGCTCCGGCCGGACGGCTGAAGATGGCTTCGACACGGCCCGCGAGACTGCCAAGGCGGCTCCAGACTGCCCCCAGGCAGCCCCCAGAGATTTATGAAGGCTCCCAAAGGCCCCAAAGAGGCTCCTGTGCATCTTCCAAGAGGCCTCCAGCAGACGAAAATCATGAAACATCAAAGTACACTAGGTTTTTTCCAGAACTTGCCTTTTCACTTCCGAGGGGCCTCTCAGGCTTCAGGATGATCTAAAAATGGCCCAAGAGGAGCCTCCAAGCGGGTCAAGACGGTCGACGGGCCCCCAAGAGCCTTCAAGATGTCTCCGAGACGGCCGGACATTGCTTCGAGACGTCCCTCGAGCCCGCCAAGACGGTCCCAGCTAGCCTCCAGACGGCCCCAGGCAGCTCAAGATAGCCCCGAAGACAGCCCCTGTAGGCTTCCAAGAGGCTTCCAGGAGGCCAGCATCATTTGAAACCTAGTGGGACACTACATGTTTCATATGTTTCGCTTTCTCGCACTGCAGGGGCCTCTTGTTGCCGCTGATCGCCCTTCTCGCACCCAGTGCCAGATGCTGCCACTGCGCGCCTTTCCGCAAGAACCGATCTTGCTTTTTAGCCGATGGCCCTTTTCTGCTTCCGCCTTCTCGTGCACACGTGCTGCTGCCACTGCCCGTCTTTACTTCAAGCAGCGGTCCCATCACGGTGGCCGATGACGTTTGTCTTTGGCTGTTCCCGCACGTGCTGCTTTCATCGTTGCTGCTGGTGGTGCGAGGCTCGTGCTTCGGCGCCGGCGGAGCCCGGCCGTCACTGTTGCAGCTGATAACCTTTGGCTCCGCTGGTTGTGGTGGTGCCTCCCCGTGCACGCTGCTGCGCAGCCGCTCACAGAGCTGCTCAAGGCTGCCGCGGAGCGTGCGCGGGGTGCGCACTCCTGAAGATTTACAGATTTCGCACTGGAGGGTGCCTCTAGAGCTCGCGAGATGGCGGGGCAAGGGTGCGGGAACGGGATGGCGCGAGAGAGCGGAGAGAGAGGAACGGGCCATCAAGCCGCTGCGATTCTTGTGGCTGGCCTGGTCTCAGCGTTGCAGCCCAGCGGAGCCGCCACCGACCTGATGGGCTCTCGATGGCAGTGCCACTCCCAAGTTGGCCATCGAAACTCGGGTCCCCTCCCTGAGAGGACTGGCTAAGAATGGAAGAAGAAGGGAGGAGGTCGGAGGGGGAGGGGGAGGAGGAGGTGGTGGCGGCTGCCGCACATCAAATGCCAGACCTGCTCCCAAACTGTGGGTGCAAAGCGAAGCCAGCCGAAACCAGCGTTGTGTCCACCGCGTAGGTACAGGAATCCACGCTGGACGGCGAGGGTATCGACAAGGCGCGGCCTCTGCCTCGAATGCAGAGGCGAAGAAGGAAGCATCCCACGCACCTTATGGTGGAACCCATGGGCCGACAGTAGTAAACCTGGAGACCCCTTCGAACCTCTCGGAGGAGGAGGAGGAGGAGGAGGAGGTCGGGGCCTGCCGAGGGGGTCCTCCTGGAGCCCTCCTCCTGGGCGCCTCGGGGGGCCTGGCCGCCGCCCCCGCGGGCCAGATCGCTTCCGAGCCCCGCGCCCGGGCGGGTCAAACAGGGCTACACCTTAGGCGATGCTTAAGAAAACCCAAGTTTTCGGCCAGAGTCTCGATTATTCTTAACGTTTCAATGTAAATCCTAAGATTTTAATGAAAATGTTGGGTTTTTATTCAAGTTCTGGGACTATGAATTTCTTAACCCATGATTTCTTAAGCATTTCGCAGGGTGTAGGATCGGGATAAATCGCTCCAGAGCGTTCCGGAGCGCTCTCAGAGCGTTCCGTCTGGAGCGGCCGCGGCGCCCAACACATCCTCCAAACCCGCCGATTCTCAGAGATTTCGAGTTGTCCCGATCCGATTTTGTCCTGGTGTTCGCGTCTTTTTAGCGGGCGCAGCGGCGGGCGGTCGGCCAAGTCGAGTGGGTCGGCTCGTCCGCTGCGCGCCAGGGGCGGCCCGCGATGGGCAGCCGGTGTGGTCGGAGTTCGATAGACCTCCTACTCCAGATTTCGTAATAAAAGGGAGGGGGTCTGGACCCTCCAAGACAAGCCATTTCAGACCTCCCCCGTGGGAGAACCCTCCAAAACATCGTCCCCAGACCCCCCAGGCCCTCCAAGGTAGCCTGGAAGAGGCCCCCCCCCGAAATGAGACCCCCCTCCCTTTATTACGAAATCTGGAGTACCCTGACACGTCGATTAGCGAATCGGCCGTTTTCGGTTCGCGAGAGGGCGTCGCGGCCGTCATTTTTTTGCGGGTCCAGGTACGTCGGTTTCGGTCCTGGGCCGTTGTCACTGGAGGGAGGTGTACTAAAGGGAGGTTTGTCCAGCGCCGATGTGGGTTCAGCGGCCAATCTGGGCTTCTGCCAAGACTGGGACCGGCTCCCGCTGCCATCCCCTGGAGTTTGTGTTTTCGACCCTCCCTTGGTTGGGTTCTCGTGCTGAACAGAGCAGTGCAGGCCCCATCCTCCATCCTCCCCGTCTTCACAATTACACAATACGAATACTACTCCTGGTTCTGTCTGGAAGATGTTCAGCACCCTCTGCGCATTTTTTAACGCAGGATTCCAGCGAGCTGTCTCTCTCTCTCTCTCTCTCTCTCTCTCTTTTATATAGAATCAGATCAATCATGGCAAACATAACATAAATACATATAAATGTACAAGTAAGTGTTTTTGCAAATCCGTTTGTTTGCCAGTAACTTAATACGTTACTCAGGCTACATTGCTGGCCCCATGTTCGGGCTTCCGCTCGTTCCGACTCGTGCTCCCGCTGCAGCGTTGACCTCATTTCCGTGCTTCCGCTCGTTCCGACTCGTGCTCCCGCTGCAGCGTTGACCTCATTTCCGTGCTTCCGCTCGTTCCGACTCGTGCTCCCGCTGCAGCGTTGGCCTCATTTCTAGTACCATGTCATGGCATGCAATGCAATGCTATGGTGTGTTCCGCTGTGCGATGCCATGCCTTCATCTGCAATGCTATGATATGCAGTGCTTGACTACACAGTGACGCCATGCTATGTCATGTCACGCGTTGATCTTCAATGCCATGTTACACCATGTAACACGATGCCATGATACGACATCCGACTGCGAATAGAGAGGAGATCTACGCCATGGTAAGGAAGGGATGGGAGGGAGGGCATCCAAGGTCCTCCAGACGTCTCCAGAGGCCTCCAGAGATATCCTGAGGCCTCCAGAGAGCTCTAGATACCTTCAGAGGCGGCCATCGTCGTCGTCGTCCTTGTCCTTGTCCTCATCCTCGTCCTCGTCCTCGTCCTCATCATCGTCGTCGTCAGCTTCGTCGTGGTCGTCGTCATCTTCATCGTTATCGTCGTTGTTCTTGTCGTTGCCGTCGTCGTCGTTGTCGTCGTCGTCGCGTCGTCGTCGTCGTAGGTCCTCCAGACGCCTCGAAGGGCCTTCAGAGCTCTCATGAGGCCCTTGGAGACCTCTGGGGACCTTCACGCGGGGGGGACCCCATCGCACCCCCTCCCCTCGCTCTCCCCCTCGTTGCCCCCTCCACTTCCCTCCTCGTCCTCCCTCCCTCCTCGTCCTCCCCCTTCCTCCTCCTCCTTCTCCCTCTCTCCCTCCCTACTCGTCCTCGTCCTCCCCCCCCTCGTCCTCCCTCCCTCCCTCCCTCCCTCCTCCTTCTTCCTCCTCCTCCTCCTGCTCTTCCTCTCCTCCTCCTCCTCCTCCTCCTCCTCCTCCTCCTCCTCTCTTCCTCCTCCCTCCTCTCTCCCTCCCTGCTCGTCCTCGTCCTCCCCCCCCCCCTTTCTCTGCTGTGGCTGCTCCCTCCGCCCCTCCTGTCCTCTCTCTGTCTACCCCTTTCTGCTCCTGCTTCTCGTTCGTTCCTCCCTCGTTTCGTGTTGTCCGCCTCGTGCTTCCCCCCCCCCCCCTCGGGCCACCAGCACCTCCCGCCCGCTCCCCTCGGGGCCCGCCGTGGCCTCCCGGCAAAGAG